AAGAGAGAGAGATAAAGAGAGAGAGATAAAGAGAGAGATAAAAGAGAGATAAAGAGAGAGAGATAAAGAGAGAGAGATAAAGAGAGAGAGATAAAGAGAGAGAGATAAAGAGAGAGAGATAAAGAGAGAGAGATAAAGAGAGAGATAAAGAGAAAAAGAGAAAGAGAGAAAAAGAAAGAAAGAAAGGGAAGAGAAAAAGAGGAAAGAGAAAAAGAGAAAGAGAAAAAGAGAAAGAGAAAAAGAGAAAGAGAAAAAGAGAAAGAGGAAAGAAAGAGAAAGAGAAAAAGAGAAAGAAAAAGGAGAAAAAAGAGAAAGAGAAAAAGAGAAAGAGAAAAAGGAGAAAGAGAAAAGAAAAAGAGAAAGAGAAAAAGAGAAAAGAGAAAAAGAGAAGAGGGAAAAAAAGAGAAAGAGAAAAAGAGAAAGAGAAAAAGGAGAAAGAGAAAAAGAGGAAAGAGAGAAAAAAGAGAAAGAGAAAAAGAGAAAGAGAAAAAGAGAAAGAGAAAAAAGAAAGAGAAAAAAAGAGAAGAAAAAAAGAGAAAAAGAGAAAAGAGAAAAAGAGAAAGAGAAAAAGAGAAAGAGAAAAAGAGAAAGAGAAAAAAGAAAGAAAAGAGAAGAAGAAAAAGAGAAAGAGAAAAAAGAGAAAGAGAAAAGAGAAGAAAGAAAAAAGAGAAAGAGAAAAAGAGAAAGAGAAAAAGAGAAAAGAGAAAAAGAGAAAAGAGAAAAAAAGAGAGAAAGAGAAAAAGAGAAGAGAAAAAGAGAAAGAGAAAAGAGAAAGAGAAAAAGAGAAAGAGAAAAAGGGGGAAAGAGAAAGAAAAAAGAGGAAAAGAGAAAAAAAAAGAGAAAGAGAAAAAGAGAAAGAGAAAAGAGAAAGAGAAAAAGAGAAAGAAAAGAGAAAGAAAGAAAAAAGAAAGAAAAAGAGAGAAAAGAGAAAAGAAAAAGAGAAAGAGAAAAGAGAAAGAGAAAAAGAAAGGAAAAAGAGAAAAAAAGAGAAAGAAAAAGAGAAAGAAAAAGAGAAAGAAAAAGAGAAAGAAAAAGAGAAAGAAAAAGAGAAAGAAAAAGAGAAAGAAAAAGAGAAAGAAAAAGAGAAAGAAAGAGAAAGAAAAGAGGAGAAAGAGAGAAAAAGAGAGAAAGAGAGAACAAGAGAATGAGAGAGAGAATGAGAGAGAGAGAATGAGAGAGAGAAAGAAAGAGAGAAAAAGAGAGAGAGGGGGTAGGTAATCACTGAGAAGGGTGCTTATTAAGAGTGCCCTGGTGTTGGCATGGACAATGTGTAATGTTGCAGTGATATCATGCACGCCTTGCAAAGTGTTGCTTGTGAGCTGGAGTCATCATTACTTGGTTTTTATATTTCATACTCCAACATGTCAATGTTTGTGGATAATGTAAAGCCAATAAAGATACAAACTGAGGAAACAATTTACAAACTATGAAAACTTTTTTTTAAGATGCAGGAAGTGTAATAAGGGCAAGGTAACATTAACAAGTCAGAAGATTATTATTATAATCAAAAAGAAGTGCTAAGCCACAAGGACTATACAGCACAAGTCAGAAAAACCCTCTCAATAACCTGAACAGGTGAAAAATGGCATTGAGATACCGACAAGGTGTGGAAAGAGACACTTGTGTATAGTTCAGGATATTTATTATAGGAAATGTTTCAGCACGTATGGCTTCTTCAGTCCTCAGGACTGAAGAAGCCACACATAGCATAATGTTTCCTCTATGTTCTAAACTGTACACAAGTGCCAGTTTTCCAACCTAAACAGGAAATCATTCAAGGTGCTTTATGCTGTGGATGTCACACCACTCAAGGATACAGCAACTGAGTGTAGCCCTAGCCTAGTAAAAAAAACAAAAAAAAAGTATGCTACACGAGTCAAGGGACTAGGAAAAGCTAAAGCAACTGACATACACGTCGTTGTAAAAACATACATTCAGGGAAGACAAGATTCCAATGTACAAGACAACTCTTGGGTCCTGATGTTGTATACAGGGGAAACATAAATGGAAGCTAAACACCATGATGGGCCACAATTGTAGTTTATGAGCAGAATAGACTAGTGGCAGAGATGGTAGTAGTAGTAAAGGTAACTTAGTATATGGATTAGTGGCAGTAGTAATATAGGTAACTTAGTATATGGATTAGTGGCAGAGGTAAGAGAGGTAATTTAGTATTTGGTTTAGTGGCAGAGGTGGAAGTAGCTTAGTATCTGGATTCAAAATTAGATTTGAAAAAGCCAAACTGGTTACGAATTAAATGTGCCTGCTGATTGAAGGTTATAAGGAGAGGCCAGGAGATGGAGCCCTACCCACACAGGAATAAGCTGGAGAGTAAAGGCCAGCGAGTACACACTTTCTGTAGGTCATTATTAATTAGCTTGACAAAATATGATGAAGGTACTGTATTTATGTAACTTCTGTTTGAGTTATGTCAGCTCAGCCATGTTGTGTACATTATGAAACAGTTACAATGGTGGTAAATGTATAAACTATCAATACTAAAATCTGGAAAGCCTAAGAAAAGATCAAAAAAGTATCAAAATTATGTGGCATTTACCAAGGCCTTGAAGTTTTCAAATACATACTGTATCATTTACCATTAGTAACAAGGCTGACAGTGATGTGCTTGGTACACCTCATAAAGAAACAAACAAGCAAGACAATAGCCATAGCACCTTACACATGATTTTGGTGTTGCAAAAAATCTAACTAAATTTTAAGCGTATCAAGAATAAATGAACACAAGTTGTCTAAATGTTCACATCACTGGCAAGTAGGAAAAGCAGTGTGCAGAGGTCTCCTGTCACTGCTGGCTTATTCCACTTCCAGTCTGGAAACACTAAACAGAAGTATTCATTTACTCATACTGATCAAGTCCAGATTTGAGCTATATGAAGTACAATGATTAACAACACCAGATCAAAGGCATGACTGATTTAGGGGGTCATCCACAAATGTCAAGTGATATTTGCAAAGACAATTTTAGGTTCTGTACTGCTTTACCAAAAAGTATCGTACAGGAATAAAACTAATCAGTACTCTGATAGACTTTTTTTTTGTTTAAAATGAAGCAGTAAACCCATGCGATTCATTCAACACAAGAAGTGGTGGAAGCTCAATCCTCCATCCACTAAATTAGTCATGTAGTTAACAAATTATTAGTACTGTACTGAATTGTATCTGATTAATTAAAGTTATCAAAAACAGGGTTTATAGGGACAGAGAAAATTCTCCTTAAATGCTTATGTAATCAATATTATTCAAATTTAATACATTTCTTCAAAATTACATGTATTAGAAACACCTTTGCAAACAATGAACAGCAAGTCGATTTTTTTTATTTAAGAGGAATTTTCTCGAGTTAATTTCATTCAAGGAAAAAGAGAAAGGTTACACAGATTCTTCTTTCAATTCACCAATCATTTATAGAAGCTATGTATGTCTGGAAGAATGAAACATATTATCTGCAACTTGTTTGTTTTTTTCACAGTCAGAATAAATATTTTACTATACAAGAAGTAGCTATGGAAAGCAAGATATTTGTGAAAATTGTTACTATAGAAAATTCCATATTTTTTATGCTAGAGCATAGTATCTTAGATAAATGCAATCACTTATGTGACTCGCATTAGCAATTTGTGCAAAAATAAGGAAGACAAATAAAGTATAGCATGTAAAATAAGGAAAGGATAGTAATCAGATATATGTTACTTGATAATACAGTCCTTTAATTTCTCTATCATTATTTTCACATTTCAAAGCAAGAGGACTATTACATTATAAACAGGCATAGAATTACTTTTTACTTTATGAAAGCATTTCTTCTTTTTCAGGTCACCCTGCCTCAGTGGGAGACAGATGCCGTGTTAAAAAATACTTTATATACCAAAAACTAGCAAGTATCAGATAAATATGTAAAATTCTCCAGCACAGAAATCTAGCAAGAAATATGAATGAAAAAAAAAAGGGGGGAAGAGGGGAGGAGGAGAGAGAGAGAGAGAGAGAGAGGAGAGAGAGAGAGAGAGAGAGAGAGAAGAGAGAGAGAAGAGAGATAGAGAAGATAGAGAGATAGTAGAGATAGAAGTAGATAGAGAGATATAGATAGAGAGATAGTAGAGATAGAGAGAGAGATAGAAGAGATAGAGAGAGAGATAGAGATAGATAGATAGATAGAGATAGAAGAGATAGAGAAGAGATAGAGTAGGATAGAGAGAGATAGAGAGAGAGATAGAGAGAGATAGAGAGATAGATAGAGAGAGTAGATAGAGAGAGATAGAAGAGAGATAGAGAGAGATAGAGATAGAGAGAATAGAGAGAGATAGAAGAGAGATAGAGAGAGATAGAGAGATGAGAGATAGAGAGAGAGAGAGAGATAGAGAGAGAGAGAGAGAGAGAGAGAGAGAGAGAGAGAGAGAGAGAGAGAGAGAGATAGAGAGAGATAAGAGAGAGAGAGAGATAGGAGAGAGAGAGAGATAGAGAGAGAGAGAGAGAGATAGAGAGAGAAAGAGAGAGAGAGAGATGAGATGAGAGATAGAGAAGAGAGATGAGAGAAGAGAGAGAGATAGAGAGAGAGATAGAGTAGAGAGAGAGATAGAGAGAGAGATAGAGAGAGAGAGAGATAGAGAGAGATAGAGATAGAGAGAGAGAGAGATAGAGAGAGAGAGAGAGAGATAGAGAGAGAGAGAGAGAGAGAGTGAGATAGAGAGAGAGAGAGAAGAGAGAGAGAGAGAGAAGAGATAGAGGAGAGAGAGAGAGAGAGAGAGAGATAGAGAGAGAGAGATAGAGAGAGAGATAGAGAGAGAGAGAGTAGAAGAGAGAGATAGAGAGAGAGAAGATAGAGAGAGAGAGAGATAGAGAGGAGAGAGAGAGTAGAGAGATAGAGAGAAGAGAGAGAGAGAAGAGAGATAGAGAGAGAGAGAGAGAGAGAGAGAGAGATAGAGAGAGAGAGAGAGATAGAGAGAGAGATAGAGAGATAGAGAGAAGAGATGCAAGGGACCTACCTTACTGGCTCTGGAGTTTTCCTGTGCATGGTGGGTGTGTGAGTGACCGAGGTAGTGGTAGCCGTCGCCCCCCCTTGACTACTGCCACAGCTTCCCCAGGCCTCTCGTTGGCCCGTACTAAGGTTGGCCATGTGACTGGGTGTAGGCCAGCTGCTGGCCATCTCCCGCACGGACCCGCTCGTGCCCACCCCACCTCCGGACATATTTGTTGTACTGGTGCTTCCTGAGCTCGATGAATGATGACTACTGCTACTACTACTGTTGCTATCTCGACTGTCTCTACCACTTCCTGACACGTTATTATAAAAATTACCATGACTTGAACGAGGAGGTAACACCTGGCTATAGGGATTTGAATACTGGTTATAAACATGTGTATAAGGCCTAGGAGAATAATTAAATGGATAAAAAGTTTGTGTATTTAAAGGGACACCATACTGATGTTGGGCTGAAGGGGGTTGGGGAAAAGGCCCCATGTGATTTACTCCAGGGTATGAATGGGGAGGAACAGCAGAAGGGGGAACAGATCTTTGCAAGGGTGAGGCTGAGTATGCCCTGGAGGGAGCAGGGGACAAAGGGGGCCCAGAACGAGATGGCGAAGCAGATACGGCGCGGGTCAGATTGGGAGAGGCTGGAAGCTGGGACCGACTAACCACACCAGTGCCACCATTGCTGCAGCCGTTGCCGCCAGAGTTTCTGCTAGGACTACTAACACCACCACCATTTTGATGTTGATTTAGTTGTGTCTGTTGTGACTGCTGCTCCTGTTGTTGTTGTTGTTGTTGTTGTTGTTGCTGTTGCTGCTGCTGTTGCTGTTGATTTTGTTTTTGTTGTTGCTGATGATGTAACTGTTGAGGTGATGGTTGGCTGACACGATCATGGCTATGAGCTTCAGGAGTACGGCTCCGTCTTCTTGGTGCCACAGGAGGAGGCGGAGGTCCACAATCATTCCCACTACTCACACCACCACTAACACCACCACCACCACCTCCACCTCCCCCCCCTCCTCCTCCTCCTCCTCCTCCTCCAGTACTACTGGGAGCACTTGGTGGTCTGCTGCTGGACCGTGAGGCTCGGGGTAGTAGAGGGGAGGAAAACATACTTACTCTTTGTGGAGAGTTGCGAGCCTTAGCATCCATCAAGCGGCATACCTCTGTCAAACAAGAACAATTATTTAATGGCAGTATTCCTTAAAAAGCCCATGGTATGCATAGTTTCAGATATAAGGAGTACCCAACTTACAAATGCCCCAAGTTACATACATTTACACAAACAAGGCACTCACAACTGTCAAGCTGCCATACGAATATGTCTGAAACTTTGCCATTCTTTGTATAATTATTTTCTATGTAAACTCATTTTTAAGTTGAAAATCCAGAATGTGACTTATTTCTAAGGTGGAGACCTCCTGTATATTAAGTTATTACACTTGAATGATACTACAATAGTACATGCTCGCTGATTATGTTCTTAGTTTTGTAATACTTCAGTTATTACATCTATATTATGAAAATAATTTCTGTGTGTCTGTTTTAGTGACACTAGTTATGTCAGGTTTATCCTCAGTTATAATATCCTTTAGAACTTGTCCTTCTGAGATCATCCATCTATATTTGTGTATGAATTCTTGTTCCATAGTAATTCTACTGTAACTAAGTAACTTGCTGTATCTTCACCATCCCTCTTCAGTCACTCCACCAAGATGAAAATCATTGAATCAGTTCATAATAATGTCATATTTCTCAAATTGAACCTTTTGTTCATTATCTACCTTTCTTATTGCACATATCATTATAGTTAACTGCATAAGAAATCCTACTTAATACTCTATGTATAAATCTTAAGTAGTCTTTAAGCACTAGGATTAGTTTGCCCAAAATTAGCTTCATACTAGTGGCTTTCTTTTGTGCCTACCAGTGCTTTATTACATTTAAACTACAATACTTTGTACTGCACAAAATAATAAAAAATTGTATTTGTACTTTATAAATTTATTCATTTTTCTCTGATTTCCTGTTTTTGTTAGTAAAGTATAAGTACATGGTTTAATTTCTGTTTATGTCTCCTTAATAAAAGTATTAGTCAGAGGGCTGAAGAGGGGTTGTTGAGGTGGTTTGGTCATTTAGAGAAAATGGATCAAAGTAGAATGACATGGAGAGCATATAAATCTATAGGGGAAGGAAGGCGGGGTAGGGGTCGTCCTCGAAAGGGTTGGAAAGAGGGGGTAAAGGAGGTTTTGTGGGTGAGGGGCTTGGACTTCCAGCAAGCGTGCGTGAGCGTGTTAGATAGGAGTGAATGGAGACGAATGGTACTTGGGACCTGACGATCTGTTGGAGTGTGAGCAGGGTAATATTTAGTGAAGGGATTCAGGGAAACCGGTTATTTTCATATAGTCGGACTTGAGTCCTGGAAATGAGAAGTACAATGCCTGCACTTTAAAGGAGGGGTTTGGGATATTGGCAGTTTGGAGGGATATGTTGTGTATCTTTATATGTGTATGCTTCTAAACTGTTGTATTCTGAGCACCTCTGCAAAAACAGTGATAATGTGCGAGTGTGGTGAAAGTGTTGAATGATGATGAAAGTATTTTCTTTTTGGGGATTTTCTTTCTTTTTTGGGTCACCCTGCCTCGGTGGGAGACGGCCGACTTGTTGAGAAAAAAAAAAAAAGAATACATACCTGCAAACCATGCTGAGACATCCACCTTTTTCTGTTCGTACTTCTTAATAAAGGGATAGTCGAGAAGTTTCTTGTACTTTGGGCGGTGGCGATACTCTTTAATAAGGCTGCAACATGAAATCTTTATGTACATCATCTCAACTATTATGAAATTAGAGTAATTTATTGCAATTATTATACCTGCTCATAAGCATCAGAGTACTTTAACACATTACTCTTAAAAACATACTGCATTTTGAAAAGGCTTTTATTTTTAGATTCCTCTCTCTAAATACTTTACTATTAATTTACCTATCAACTGATCAGCAAAACTTATCATCATATTAATTTTATTATCACAGCTGGCCAAGACTCCAAGGAAAGTGGAGAAGAATCCTTCCTCTGTAAACCACGAGTGTCACAAGAGGCGACTAAAATGACAGGAGCAAGGGGCTAGTAACCCCTTCTCCTGTACAAGTTACTAATTTTGCTTTTTGAACAAACTGGCCATACCCCACCAAGGCAGGGTTACCTAAAAAGAAAAAAAAAAGTTTTTTCCATTCAAATTTAGTAATTTATGCAGAAGGGGTTACTAGCCCGTTGCTTCCAGCATTTTAGTCGCCTCAAGTTACTAAATGCAAAAAGAAAAAACCTGGCAAAAGCAAATAGTGTAGGATATCAGCTCCTGGCCAGTAAAATTGATGTACAGTAAAAAAAAAAAAAAAAAAAAAAAGGCACTGAAACAGCTGGTGATTATTTGTCTGACAAGAAATACAAGTGGATAAATATTCAGAATTAGATGGAGTAATAGTAAGAGAACAATATAATTAACTAGGATGAGAGCATTGTGTTCATGCAAGAGTACTCCAATGCTCAAGTAAATGGTAATGCCAAGTAAAAAAGTCAAAAAATGAAAGTATTATTACAGTTCTTCCTTCAGAATTACTGATGTATCTGCATATTGTAAATGACTACCATACAGGGCATAGATTATTACAAATAACACATCCCACTATAGAACTTCATCAGATATATGAAAATACAGAGCAACGGTTGCTTACAAAGGGGTAGAGAATAGACTGCACTAATAGAGAGACTGAGACATGCATTACTAAATTTATTAGTTCAAGTTTGGAGGGACATTTTTCTCCATCTTTAACTGTCTAAACCACCTAAACAACCCCTCCTCAGCCCTCTTGATAATAAAGATGAAAATCCTTTATCCAAAATGCTTGGGACCGGAAGTGTTTCGGATTTCGGATTTTTTCCTATTTTGGAATATTTGTATATTTACATCTATAAAATGGGACAGCTTGGGGGTGGGATCAAAGTCTAAACATGGTACTGTACCAAAAAACCATGATTACTGCTTGCAAAAAAAAAGAAGAGAAATCCCCCCCAATTCTGACTGGCTAAGTCTTGGAAAGGACTTTCATAAAATGTGCTGAATTTACAATAACAGAACTAAAAATGCACTAAATTTATGTGAAAGTTCCAAAAAATGCATTAACACTATTGGTTTAAAAAATAACACATTATGCATTGTTCTCAATTATTCTAGATTTGCTAAATCTCAATCAACCATCTCTTCTTCAGTGTGTGTAGCTATTTCTTGTTGTGACTGGCTGTGTTCTCTTTCTACTCCCTGTCTCAATGTGTGCAAGTGGATGTGTTTACTGCTAGGACTGATTTGTGATGGTTTTTTCATGCATTTTAAAAATATTTTGTTAATGGTTTTTAAATTTACTGATTTTACTATTTAATTAATAGGAGATTTACTCTTGTTCTTGCTCAGAGCTACTGGGGGATTAATGAATAGTAATTTTTATAATATAAATTTAACAATAGGAACTCTATTTCTTTTTGGACCCCATTCGATGGATAGGATGTGTGTTGAAAATGAAAGAAATTTAATGTTATGCTGGGACGCTTTGTATTAATTTTTTAAGAGCAATACATTCCACAGTCCCTTAATATAGATTAGTGCACTGAAATCGACAAAAATTATATTTCTGCACTTGAGTTTATTTAAGCACTCATCATATATCAACAAAATCATCTCTATTTTGAAAATCTTTCTGAACATATAATGAATAAGAACTAGAATAAGCATAAAAATGCTCCATAAATACACTGCAAAGTCATCATTTTAAACCATATACAGTACACAGTCACAGTTGTGTTTCCATCATGCACTGCATAGGGCAGGATTTTTTTTTATATTGTGCACACTCACCACACAGAACCATTCTCTTACATTTAGGCCAAAATTTACTGTTCACAGCTATGGCACAGACCCTGAGCTCAAAGCCATAGTACTACGGCACAGACCCCAAAAAAGGTTAATATCAGGATCATTGGAGGGGAGTAAAAATATTATTACCAGGTGGTTTGATACTACCTGTAGCACATTTGACTCCATCATCTGGTTTACCTTAACGTACTGGTGCTAAATGCCAACAAATTTTTACGATTTATGATTATTTTTGTTTTATGCAAAACAGTTTACGTAATTTATTATCGAGTCGTATACACGAGCTTAGATTACTGCCTAGTATCGAAACACTTCTCTAAGCTTAGGTTGAGGACTATGAGCAATGCAACTTTTGGCCTCCAAAATGCTGGGGTAAATTTTTGAGACTTATTTGGGGGGGGGGGGACCATCTTCAAAGCCATAAAATACAGTAATTGCTGCTGACAACAAACTGGCACTAGTACAAATATGAAGCTCATCTGTCTTGACTTAAAAAACAAAAGATTTAGCTCCCCCACACCTTACACTGAATGATCCATTTGTGGTGTGTCATGTTAACATGAAAAACTTTCGGATTTTGAAGGTTTTAGAATTTTGGAATCTTGGATAAAGGATTCTGTACCGTACTTTTAGTAACTCCTCACCTCCTCCTTACCTCAAAACTACAAATTCTGCATAATATTCACACCACACATTGCCCTCAGACATATCTCACTGTCTCCAGCCTCCTCCTCACTGCAACATTCACAACCACTAAAGACAAAACAGCACAAGCTGGTAAAATTTCAGGTATGCTGGGTGCATACAAAATACTAACAATGTTAAAGTTATACACAGTACTGGATCATATAATTCTGGCACCCTTACACTAGTACCAACATTTTTTTAAATATTTCTTTCAACACTTCTTTAGTGGAGACAGATAAAACTGATTTTCTACTAGTCCTAACAAAGCTAAAAATTTAATATATACCTCTTGTTTTATTTTAACATAACATTTTAACTTAATGCACATGGAAATTTTAGTAGTGTATTTATAAGTTTTTTCCAGTATTCGTGTTTTGGCACCTCTTATAAATCAGCGCACTGAGTTGCTGCCCAGCTGACCTACCCCTTAATCCATCCCTAGTAATACACACACACACTAACTATTACACCTAATCATCACATGTGGAGCTCAAATTAGGAGAGATTTTTTTGAACATTGCAGCCATTCAATACAATATTCAACCAAACAAGGCTATTAACCCTTAAACTGTCCAAACATAGATCTACGTTCACATGTACAGTGCTCCAAAAGTAGATCTACGTTTTTTTACGTATTTTCAAATGTTGAAAAAATGTAGATCTACGTTTGGACAGTTTAAGGGTTAATATAGATGTATTACAACCTGTTAGGAGAGAAAAAGTGTAAAACACTAGACAACTGTGAATGTTCCCCAATGCAACCTGCCCATGTACATTATATTATCACTAGTTTTGACTGTGTGCCTCATCCTTCACCTCAATCGTGGTATTCCTTCCCCCTCTATAAACAACCACCCATAGATTTCCACTTTATATTTACAAGTCTTATAAGGTAGCATACCTGAAATAAACCCTACTCCCTAAGTGGTGTTTCCACCCTAAATGTTCTATTATAAAAACACAAGCTTTGATTAAATTATTTGGAAGTTATGGAATTTTGTGAGATGAACAATGTACAGAGCCTTCTACCAACAAGATACTAGCTGGGAAAACTGACTTACCAATCATTTACAAATTCACAGAATTCGGGGCTGAAAGTACCATCTTTTGGCAGAGAGGGCGGGTCATCCTGGAGAACTTTGGTCAGTACCTACATCCACGAAACATAGTAAAGTTAGCTTAAACATGATACTAGCAGCTAAGCTGTGCAAGACGAAGATAAAGAGTCCAACACAAAGTGTGATGCCAAGGTCAAACAAACTTTGTCTATTAGTGGGTGAGCAGAGATGCATTATGGTGGAAATAACATTTAACCCCCAAGCAATAATTTTCCAGATAAAAACTATGTATGATGAACATGTAGTACAGTGTATGCATCAAGAATGAAATTCAGGTATTTCACCAATTTACAAGAGAAACAAACTGAAGACCACTCTATATTAAACTTGCCTCAAAGTCATTACGACAGTCTTTGTATGGAAACTGGCCAGTTGCAAGTTCAACCAGTGTGATGCCCAAACTCCAAACATCTGCACGGATGTCGTAATCTGGCTTCGTAGGGTCAGGCGGGTCTATCCTTTCCGGCTATCAAAAGACCTTTGGGTTATTTTATGAGGAACCTACTGCACCCTATGCATAAAATACACCAAATAAATATTCTAAAATGTGGTAAAACAACAACCCTACTTGAAAAAATAAAACGGGTCAAAAGTAATGCATTGTATAAACAATCAACTATCTCACTTGCTCTTTCCATCTCTCATTACTCTTCTTCTTTCTTATTATTCATAATTAATAACTTTAAAACCTATTAACCCGTAAATGGTCCAAGCAGATCTATGTTCACATGTGTAGTGCTACAAAAGTAGATCTACGTTTTTTTTACATATTTTCAAATTTAACAAACAAAAGAAGTAGATCAAAGTTTTTTTACACATTTTCAAATGTAAAAAAACAAAAAGATCTACTTTTTTTACATACTTTCAAATGTTGAAAAAACGTATATATAGGTTTGGACTGTTTACGGGTTAATATGCTCAGATATTTGGGAGTGGATTTGTAGGTGGACAAGTCAATGAAAGATGAGGTGAACCATAGAATAAACAGGAAAAAGGTAGGAGGTTTGCCAAGGCATCTGTAAGACAAAGAACATTATCCATGGTATGTGTGTGAAGCATGGCTTGTGAATGCTGTAGTGAGAAGGAGGCTGAAGGTAGTGGAGATATCATGTATGAGCGCAATGTGTGGTGCAAATATTATGCAGAAAATTTGTAGTTTGGAGATTAGGAGGAGGTGCGGGGGGTTACTAAAAGTATTATCTAGAGGGCTGCGGAGGGGTTCTTGAGGTGGTTTAAACATTTAGAGAGGATGGAGCAAAATAAGATGACTTGGAGGGCGTATAAATCTGGAGTTAAAGGAAGGCAGGGTAGGTCATCCTTGGAAAGGTTGGAGGGAGGGGGTAAAGGAAGTTTTATATGTGAAGAGTTTGGACATTCAACAGGCATGTATAAACATGTTAGATAGGAGAGTAGTATTTATGACAACGTGCTGCTGGAGTGCAAGCAAGGTAACTTTTATGAAGGAATTCAGGGAAGCCAGTTAGCTGGATTTGAGTCCTGGAGGCCTCAGTGGGAGATGGCTAGCATTCTGCTAGTCTTACAGTACAAATGACAATGAAAACTTTGGTAAATGCTGTAATAAAACTGCCACCTTACCGCCATATATGCAGCACAGCCAGCACTCCGAGTCTTGGCCTTAGAATCGACTAGTCTCCCTGAGATCCCGAAGTCACACAGTTTAATGTTTCCACGTTCATCAAGAAGAATGTTGGAAGGCTTCACATCACGGTGAATTACACCATGAGACTCCTTTAGGTAATGAAGAGCTTTTAAAGTCTGAAATGGAAGGAATGTTTGTTAATCAAATATCACAAAACGCTTTTCATATAACAAATACCTCCACTATAAACTTTTAACTCTTTCAGGGTTTCGGCCGTACTAGTACGGCTTACACGCCAGGGTTTTTGACGTACTAGTATGCATAAATTCTAGCGCCCTCAAATCTAGCAAGAGAAAGCTGGTAGGCCTACATATGAAAGAATGGGTCTATGCGGTCAGTGTGCGCAGTATAAAAAAAAATCCTGCAGTACACAGTGCGTAATGAGAAAAAAAAACTGACTGTGTTTTTGGTTTAAAACAGCGATATTGCACTGTATTTTCATATGGTATTTATTGATGTATTCTAGTTTTCCTGGTCTCATTGTATAGAATGGAAGACATATTACAGAAATTGAGATGATTCTGACTGGTTCTGCAATGAAAAGTACCTTGAAATTGAGCTCAAAGTAGCAGAAATGTTCGATTTTTACCAAAGTTCAAAAGTAAACAAATCATGCTAAGCGTCCAATGCACGTCAACTGGTGAGTCTAATATGCTTTCACAAGTGCGCCGATATTATTTATACCATTTCTACACTAATGCAGTAGTCTGCATAACAGTAAATCTCATTATTTTTTTTGTTGGTAGACAGCAACCACCCAGGGAGGTACTACCGTCCTGCCAAGTGAGTGTAAAACGAAAGCCTGTAATTGTTTTACATGATGGTAGGATTGCTGATGTCTTTTGTCTGTCTCATAAATATGCAAGATTACAGGCATGTCTTGCTACTTCTACTTACACTTAGGTCACACTACACATACATATACACATTTATTCATACACACTCATCTGAGTTTTCTTTGATTTTATCTTAATAGTTCTTGGTCTTATTAATTTTCCTTTTATATCCATGGGGAAGTGGAATAAGAATCTTTCTCCGTAAGCCATGCGTGTTGTAAAAGTCGACTAAAATGCCGGGAACAATGGGCTAGTAACCCCTTTTCCTGTAAAGATTACTAAAAAGAATAAGAAGAAGAAAATTGTCAAAGTGGGAAGTCTGAATGTGCGTGGATGTTGTGCAGATGATAAGAAAGAGATGATTGTGGATGTTATGAATGAGAAGAAGCTGGATGTCCTGGCTTTAAGTGAAACAAAGCTGAAGGGGGTGGGAGAGTTTCAATGGAGAGGAATAAATGGGATTAGGTCAGGGTTTCAAATAGAGTTAGAGCTAAAGAAGGAGTAGCAATAATGTTGAAGGATAAGCTATGGCGAAAAGAGGGACTATAAATGTATTAATTCAAGGATTATGTGGAGTAAAATAAGATTGGATGTGAAAAGTGGGTTATAATAGCGTGTATGCACCTGGAGAAGAGAGAAGTGTAGAGGAGAGAGAGAGATTTTGGAATGTTGAGTGAATGCGTGGGGAGTTTTGACTCAAGTGTGAGAGTAATGGTGGTTGGGGATTTCAATGCTAAAGTGGGTAAAAATGTTATGGAGGGAGTAGTAGGTAAATTTGGGGTGCCAGGGGTAAATGTAAATGGGGAGCCTTTAATTGAGCTATGTGTAGAAAGAAATTTGGTAATAAGTAATACATATTTTATGAAAAAGAGGATAAATAAATATACAAGGTATGATGTAAGCACGTAATGAAAGTAGTTTATTAGATTATGTATTGGTGGAAAAAGGTTGATGGGTAGGCTCCAGGATGTACATGTTTATAGAGGGGCAACTGATATATCGGATCATTATTTAGTTGTAGCTACAGTTAGAGTAAGAGGTAGATGGGAAAAGAGGAAGGTGGCAACAACAAGTAAGAGGAGGTGAAAGTGTATAAAAATAAGGGAGGAGGAAGTTCGGGCGAGATATAAGCGACTATTAGCAGAAAGGTGGGATAGTGCAAAGATGAGTAATGGGGGGGTTGAAGAGGGTTGGAATAGTTTTAAAAATGCAGTATTAGAATGTGGGGCAGAAAGTTTGTGGTTATAGGAGGGTGGGTGCAGGAGGAAAGAGGAGTGATTGGTGGAATGATGAAGTAAAGGGTGTGATAAAAGAGAAAAAGGTAGCTTATGAGAGGTTTTTACAAAGCAGAAGTGTTATAAGAAGAGCAGAATATATGGAGAGTAAAAGAAAGGTAAAGAGAGTGGTGAGAGAGTGCAAAAGGAGAGCAGATGATAGAGTGGGAGAGGCACTGTCAAGAAATTTTAATGAAAATAAGAAAAAAATTTTGGAGTGAGTTAAACAAGTTAAGAAAGCCAAGGAAAATATGGATTTGTCAGTTAAAAACAGAGTAGGGGAGTTAGTAGATGGGGAGATGGAGGTATTAGGTAGATGGCGAGAATATTTGAGGAACTTTTAAATGTTAAGGAAGAAACGGAGGCAGTAATTTCATGCACTGGTCAGGGAGGTATACCATCTTTTAGGAGTGAAGAAGAGCAGAATGTAAGTGTGGGGGAGGTACGTGAGGCATTACGTAAAATGAAGGGGGTAAAGCAGCTGGTACTGATGGATCATGACAGAAATGTTAAAAGCAGGGGGGATATAGTGTTGGAGTGGTTGGTACTTTTTGTTCAAAAATGTATTGAAAGAGGGGAAGTACCTAGGGATTGGCGGAGAGCATGTATAGTCCCTTTATATAAAGGGAAAGGGGACAAAAGAGACTGTAAAAATTATAGAGGAATAAGCTTACTGATATACCAGGAAAAGTGTACGGTAGGGTTATAATTGAAAGAATTAGAGGTAAGACAGAATGTAGGATTGCGGATGACCCAAGGAGGTTTCAGAGTGGGTAGGGGATGTGTAGATCAAGGTGGTTTACATTGAAGCATATATGTTGAACAGTATTTAGATAAAAGGTAGGGAAGTTTTTATTGCATTTATGGATTTAGAAAAGGCATATGATAGAGTGGATAGAGAGCAATGTGGCAGATGTTGCAAGTATATGGAATAGGTGTAAGTTATTAAATGCTGTAAAGAGTTTTTATGAAGATAGTGAGGCTCAGGTTAGGGTGTGTAGAAGAGAGGGAGACTATTTCCCGTAAAAGTAGGTCTAGACAGGATGTGTAAGTCACCATGGTTGTTTAATATATTTATAGATGGGGTTGTTAAGGAAGTAAATGCTAGGGTGTTTGGAGAGGGGTGGGATTAAATTAGGGAATCAAATTCAAAATGGGAATTGACACAGTTACTTTTTGCTGATGATACTGTGCTTATGGGAGATTCTAAAGAAAAATTGCAAAGGTTATGGATGAGTTTGGGAATGTGTGTAAAGGTAGAAAGTGAAAGTGAACATAGAAAAGAGTAAGGTGATGAGGGTGTCAAATGATTTAGAAAAGAAAAATGGATATCAAATTGGGGGAGGAGTATGGAAGAAGTGAATGTTTTCAGATACTTGGGAGTTGACGTGTCGGCGGATGGATTTATGAAGGATGAGGTTAATCATAGAATTGATGAGGGAAAAAAGGTGAGTGGTGCGTTGAGGTATATGTGGAGTCAAAAAACGTTATCTATGGAGGCAAAGAAGGGAATGTATGAAAGTATAGTAGTACCAACACTCTTATATGGGTGTGAAGCTTGGGTGGTAAATGCAGCAGCGAGGAGACGGTTGGAGGCAGTGGAGATGTCCTGTTTAAGGGCAATGTGTGGTGTAAATATTATGCAGAAAATTCGGAGTGTGGAAATTAGGAGAAGGTGTGGAGTTAATAAAAGTATTAGTCAGAGGGCAGAAGAGGGGTTGTTGAGGTGGTTTGGTCATTTAGAGAAATGGATCAAAGTAGAATGACATGGAAAGCATATAAATCTATAGGGGAAGGAAGGCGGGGTAGGGGTCGTCCTCGAAAGGGTTGGAGAGAGGGGGTAAAGGAGGTTTTGTGGGTAAGGGCTTGGACTTCCAGCAAGCGTGCGTGAGCGTGTTAGATAGGAGGGGAATGGAGACGAATGGTACTTGGGACCTGACGATCTGTTGGAGTGTGAGCAGGGTAATATTTAGTGAAGGGATTCAGGGAAACCGGTTATTTTCATATAGTCGGACTTGAGTCCTGGAAATGGGAAGTACAATGCCTGCACTTTAAAAAGGGGGGGTTTGGGATATTGGCAGTTTGGAGGGATATGTTGTGTATCTTTATATGTGTATGCTTTTAGACTGTTGTATTCTGAGCACCTCTGCAAAAACATGATAATGTGCGAGTGTGGTGAAAGTGTTGAATGATGATGAAAGTATTTTCTTTTTGGGGATTTTTTTTTCTTTTTTGGGGCACCCCTGCCTCGGTGGGAGACGGCCGACTTGTTGAAAAAAAAAAAAAAAAAAAAAAAAAAAAAAAAACAAAAGGCATGTTGATGGTAATAATAATAATAATAATAATAATCACCCTGCCTCGGTGGGAGACGACCGACTTGTTGAGAAAAAAAAAAAAAAAAAAAAAAATTAATAATATTAAATAATAATAAAATAATAATAATAATAATAATAATAATAATAATAATAATTTTAGGTAGAAGGTTGGTAGACAGCAACCGCCCAGGGAAGTACTACCGTCCTTTCCAAGTGAGTGTAAAACAAAAGCCTGTAATTGTTTTACATGATGGTAGGATTGCTGGTGTCCTTTTTTTTGTCTCATAAACATGCAAGATTTCAGGTACGTCTTGCTTTCTTCTACTTACACTTAGGTCACACTACACATACATGTACAAGCACATATATACACACCCCTCTGGGTTTTCTTTTATTTTCTTTCTAGTTCTTATTCTTGTTTATTTCCTCTTATCTCCATGGGGGAAATGGAACAGAATTCTTCCTCCGTAAGCCATGCTGGGTTTTAAGAGGCGACTAAAATCCGGGAGCAAGGGGCTAGTAACCTCTTCTCCTGTATATATTACTAAATGTAAAAGGAGAAACTTTCGTTTTTTCCTTTTGGGCCACCCCCCCCTCGGGGGGATAACGGCCGGGTTTTAAAGAAGAAGAAAAAAATAATAAAATAATAATAATAAAAAATAATAATAATAATAATAAAAAAATTGTAGGAAAGGGTTTGGAGCAGCAACCGCCCAGGGAAGTACACCGTCCTGCAAGGGGTGTAAAAAAAAACCCTGTAATTGTTTTACATATGGTAGGATGCTGGTGTCCTTTTTTTCTGTCCATAAACACAAGATTTCAGGTACTCTTGCTACTTCTATTTCACTTAGGTCCACTACACTACATGTACAAGCATAAAAATTACACGCACACCCCTCTGGGTTTTCTGCTATTTTCTTTCTATTCTTGTTTTTTTCCCCTTAACTCCATGGGGAAGTGGAACAAAATTTTCTTCCCCCGTAACCATGCGTGTTGAAAGGCGACTAAAATCCCCGGGGAAAAAGGGGTTAAAACCCCCCTTCTCCTGTATATATTCTAAATTTAAAAAAAGAGAAATTTTTTTTTTCTTTTGACCACCCTGCTCGGGGGATATGGCCGTTTGTTGGAAAAAAAAAAAAATAATAAAAAATAATATAAATAAATAAATAAATAAATAAAACATACAACATACATCATACATACATACATACATACATACATACAACATACATAATACTACATACATACTAATAAAAATAAAAAAATAATAATAGCTCTGGGGCACTCTAAATTTCATATTTCATGAGGTGGGGGAGCTGGTGAACACCACATCTAATTTTCTAAAAAAATACACTCGCCGTCCCATACTTTAAAGTTACAAATATTGAAGGTAAGTAATGATGTACTTTAGGTGTTTTATTTTTTGTTTTTTAATGCCTATTTTTTATTGCAACTTTGTATTGTAGATAGGTAAACCCGCATTTTTAAAGAAAAAAAAATAGTTTTACATCAATTTGCAGTTTACATGGAACCTGGAACCTAACCTGCCATTAAGTGGTGTCCTCCCGTATTGCTATACAACAGAGTACCTATCTTTAACTGCATTTATTTATTTTCTGATTTAACAGCACTTGGAGACTCCCACCATTTGTTCATGACATCGAGGATTTAGTGTACGTATTAGGGAAAAAATGTTTTAAACAAACCTGATCAAGAAGATAACTGTTTTAAATTTGAGCCATTTCAAATACACAAAAAAAAACCATCTTTTAGGAGTGAAGAAACCAGGATGTGAGTGTGGGGGGTGCGCGAGGGATTACAAATGAAAGGGGGGTAAACAGCGGAACTGACGGGGTCATGAAGAAATGTTAAAAGCAGGGGGGGGTTGTGGGGTTTGGGATTATTGTTTAATAAATGGGTTTTAAAGAGGGGGGTACCTAGGGTTTGGCAAGACATGTTAGTTTTTCCTTTTTTTAAAGGGAAGGGGACAAAAGAGATTTGTAAAAAAATTATGAGGAATAAGTTTACTGATAAAACCGGGAAAAATTATGGTAGGGTTATTATTGAAAGAATTTGGAGGGAAAAAAGAATAGGATTATAGATGACAAGGAGGTTTTAGAGTGGGTAGGGGATGTGTAGATCAAGTGTTTACATTGAAGCATATATTTTTTTTTTTTAACAAGTCGGCCGTCTCCCACCGAGGCAGGGTGACCCAAAAAAGAAAATCCCCAAAAAAGTACTTTCATCATCATTCAACTCTTTCACCTCACTCACACATAATCACTGCTTTTGCAGAGGTGCTCAGAACACAACAGCTTAGAAACATATACGTATAAAGATACACAACATATCCCTCCAAACTGCCAATATCCCAAACCCCTCCTTTAGAGTGCAGGCATTGTATTTCCCATTTCCAGAACTTAAGTTCGGCTATATAAAAATAACCGGTTTCCCTGAACTCCTTCACTAAATATTACCCTGCTCGCACTCCAACAGATCGTCAGGTCCCAAATATCATTCGTGTCCCTTCACTCCCATCGAACATGCTCACACATATATGTGAACAGTATTTAGATAAAAGTAGGGAAGTTTTCATTGCATTTATGGGTTTAGAAAAGGCATATGATAGAGTGGATAGGGGAGCAATGTGGCAGATGTTGCAAATATATGGAATAGGTAGTAAATTACTAAATGCTGTAAAGAGTTTTTATGAGGATAGTGAGGCTCAGGTTAGGGTGTGTAGAAGAGAGGGAGACTACTTCCCGGTAAAGGTGGGTCTTAGACAGGGATGTGTAATGTCACCATGGTTGTTTAATATATTTATAGATGGGGTTGTAAAAGAAGTAAATGCTAGGGTGTTTGGGAAAGGGGTGGGATTAAATTATGGGGAATCAAATGCAAAATGGGAATTGACACAGTTACTTTTTGCTGATGATACTGTGCTCATGAGAGATTCTAAAGAAAAGTTGCAAAGGTTAGTGGACGAGTTTGGGAGAGTGTGTAAAGGTAGAAAGTTGAAAGTGAACATAGAAAAAAGCAAGGTGATGAGGGTATCCAATGATTTAGATAAAGAAAAATTGGATATCAAATTGGAGAGGAGGAATATGGAAGAAGTGAATGTTTTCAGATACAGTGGACCCCCGGTTAATGATATTTTTTCACTCCAGAAGTATGTTCAGGTGCCAGTACTGACCGAATTTGTTCCCATAAGGAATATTGTGAAGTAGATTAGTCCATTTCAGACCCCCAAACATACACGTACAAACACACTTACATAAATACACTTACATAATTGGTCGCATTCGGAGGTGATCGTTATGCGGGGGTCCACTGTATTTGGGAATTGACGTGTCAGCGGATGGATGTATGAAGGATGAGGTAAACCATAGAATTTATGAAGGAAGAAAGGTGAGTGGTGCATTGAGGTATATGTGGAGACAAAAAACATCATCAATGGAGGCATAGAAGGGAATGTATGAAAGTATAGTGGTACCAACACTCTTATACGAGTGTGAAGCTTGGGTTGTAAATGCTGCAGCAAAGAGGCAGTTGGAGGCGGTGGAGATGTCCACTCTAAGGGAAATGTGTGGTGTAAATATTATGCAGAGAATTCGGAGTGAGGAAATTAGAAGGTGCGGAGTTAATAAAATATTAGTCAGAGGGCTGAAGAGGGGTTGTTGAGGTGGTTTGGTCATTTAGAGAGAATGGATCAAAGTAAAATGACATGGAGAGCGTATAAATTTGTAGGGGAAAGAAGGCGGGGTAAGGGTCGTCCTTGAAAAGGCTGGAGGGAGGGGGTAAAGGAGGTTTTGTGGGCGAGAGGCTTGGACTTCCTATAAGCATGTGTGAGCATGTTAGATAGGAGTGAATGGAGACGAATGGTATTTGGGACCTGATGAGCTGTTGGAGTGTGAGCAGGGTAATATTTAGTGAAGGGATTCAGGGAAACTGGTTATTTTTATATAGCCAGACTTGAGTACTGGAAATGGGAAGTACAATGCCTGCACTTTAAAGGAGGGGTTTGGGATATTGGCAGTTTGGAGGGATATGTTGTGTATCTTTATACATATATGCTTCTAAACTGTTGTGTTCTGGGTACCTCTGCAAAAACAGTGATTATGTATGAGTGAGGTGAAAGTGTTGAATGATGATGAAAGTATTTTCTTTTTGGGGGATTTTCTTTCTTTTTGGGTCACCCTGCCTCGGTGGGAGACAGCCAACTTGTTAAAAAAAAAAAATAAAAATAAACAAAAGCAATTCAAATGAAACTGGCTGCCTTAATTGGAGAACTGGTTGGACAGTGATAGGACAATCAAGGGTAGAAAAAAAAAGTATGTACATATACGAGTATCTGCACAACACACACAATCTGTAGGTTTCTGTTAGTCACCAAAGCTAATTAACTTTGGCATGAGAAGCCCAAGCCAGTGCAACCAACAATATCTACTGACGTAATCACTCTCACCACTAAAAAAGTGTTAGACCACAGAAAAGTAGCACACAATAAAGTATCTGAAAAGTCTTGGTTTTGGGAATATTTCTTCCAGTTTCATTAATAAATTATAAATAGAAAATTCCTAGGTAGTAGGTTGGTAGACGGCAACCACCCAGGGAGGTACTACCATCCTGCCAAGTGAGTGTGAAACGAAAGCCTGTAATTGTTTTACATGATGGTAGGATTGCTGGTGTCTTTTTTCTGTCTCATAAACATGCAAGATTTTAGGTACGTCTTGCTACTTTTACTTACCCTTATCATATATATACACACCCCACTGGGTTTTCTTCTATTTTCTTACTAGCTCTTGTTCTTGTTTATTTCCTCTTATCTCCATGGGGAAGTGGAATAGAAGTCTTCCTCCATAAGCCATGCATGTCATAAGAGGCGACTAAAATGCTAGGAGCAAGAGGCTAGTAACCCCTTCTCCTGTATATACGTATTACTAAATTTAAAAGGGAAAAAACTTCCATTTTTCCTTTTGGGCCACCGTGCCTCGGTGGGATAAGGCCGGCTCATTGAAAGAAAAAATATATAGGAAATTAAAATGAATCTGTTCTGAGGGACTTTTGGATAATGTGTCTCAGATATAAGTATTTATCTGTATTACTGTGAACAAGTTTTTTTTTTTTTTTACTTGGGGATTACATCATTTATGACTCAAGAACCCTGGAAAGTTTATTACTGGGAGTTGTATGATACTGTAGTTAATAAACTATACTTTTAAAATATCAATGCTCATCAGAACACTAGGCTGCAAGAAAATGTTTAATTAAACAAATATCTAAGAGAATATAACTTTCTTAAACACACAAAAAGATTTTCTCCAGAGTGGAAGAATGTTGGAATGATTTACATGAGGAAATATCAAGTGCTGCAATTACTAAAAGCTTTGAAAAGCTTTACAACAAAGTAAATAATGAAGATGGGTCACTGCCAGCTTAGCTCTGCTCATGTAGCTACAAACAGGTGATCATAAATAAGTAAATGGATAATCAAAGCAAATAAATTTGAAGCAAAACTTACAGCCACAGAAATTTTCCCCAGGATAGGTTCAGGTATCGGCTGTTTGTATCGTTTGGTGAGCTTGTCAAGGCAAGTGGCCATCAGCTCCATACAGATCCACACATCCGAGTCTGTGATGAAGCACCCTAAACACTGTACGATATATGGACAATCGTGTGATTTTAATACAACCTCAAGGTCAAAGAAAACGCGTTTAGTCTCCTCCATGTTGCCCGAGCGCCGCATTTGCTGTTTTGGGAAAGAAATTTTAAAAGTTAATAAGACTTACTTTAAGCTTATCTTTCAGCATTTAACTATTCTTTAATATACAGCAAGTCCTCTAATAATGTCATTTCATTTATAATGTTAATGAGAAAAAATTATACAAATTATTGTAAAATAAAAATTTGTAAAAATATGATAACCATACAAATGCACAACAATAAACGATGCGGTATGAAAGCACTCAGCAAGCCTGCCATATTTGTTATCGTTTGCTTGTGAACTACAGGGCAGTAGATGCTCCTCCTTACAATTTTCACTTTGCAAGCATTTATTCCTTTATTTAACCTTCTTGAAATGAGTGCTAAAGGTGAGCTGTGCACCTGTGACATTAGAAACAAAACTAGCCTATGGTAAAATTGGTTTCGTTATACTATATCGTTTCGCTTACAGTCGCAGTTTCCAAGAACCTAGTGATGACGTTAAGTGAGGACTTACTGTACTGTACTGCCATCATAGCATTTCCAGTCTAGTTATGTAAACTTAAAAATCAATAAATTTGAGGTTTACAAGGCATACAATGAAGATATGTGAATAAATGGTTTAGAAAACCAACAGATTGATAAATGAGACACTTGTGCAACATTTGGGTATCTTTAGTCTGGAAAGACACCCAAATGTTGCAGAAATGTCTCATTTATCAATGAAGATATGGTAGAGGCACGCTACAATATACAGTAATAAAAAAATAAACATTCTAAACACTAACCTTAACAGCAATAACTTTTTTGGAAGATTTGTGAAGCATTTTGACAACATTGCCAGAGGTACCATTGCCTAATTCTGATATGTATTCCATATCTTCTATGGAACTTTTATATTTCTGAAATTGAGATAAGTCATCTAAGGATGATAAATATTTATCACATATTTCAGTATACTGTCTCAAGGTTACAATTATTCACAAATTTTATTTTAAACCTGTACGGGTCATTTGGCGCTGCACATTGGGTGAGAGATGGTAAATGAGAAGCTGAGATGTTGAGGGAAGGACATCAGGAGAAAGGAAAGGAGGGAAAGGGAGGGGAAAAAGGATCACAGTTGACATAGTAAATCTGTGTCAGTTAAGAAATAATATAATGGCACTGTCAGGATGGAGGGTGGATAGAGTAAGCCTGCCAGAGCATTTAAGCCTTTGACTGTTTCAGTCATAAATATATGTCTTACGAGCCACCCTATTTGACTTATACTCATAAATTCTAGCGGCTTCAAATCAAGCAGGAGAAAGCTGGTAGGCCCACATGTGAGAGAATGGGTCTGTGTGGTCAGTGTGCACCATATAAAAAAAATCCTGTAGCACGCAGTGCATAATGAGAAAAAAAACTCCGACCGTTTTTTTTTATTTATATTTTGGGTTTTGTAATTGATCTCGTTTTCTTGGTCTCATTTGATAAAATGGAAAACATATTATAGAAATAGAGGTGATTTTGATTGTTTTTCTATGAAAAGAACCTTGAAATGGAGCTCAAAGTAGGGGAAATGTTTGATTTTTGCCGATGTTCAAAAGTAAACAAATGATGTCATTTTCCAATAAATGTCCAAGTAGCCATTCTGATATGCAGTCATGAATGGGTTGACATTATTTACACAATTATTACAATATTGCAGTAGTCTGCATAACAGTAAATCTTCTATTTTTTGTTTGAATAAAAATTTAAAATAGAAAGCAAGAGTCAATATCAGAAGGGCCTGGAGAAGTGACTGATGAACAAAGAAAATGTTATTTTAGAGCCAGGAATGTCTGCATTGTTCATTCTGGACCCTATTTTGAAATTGTCATATTTTTTAATTTTCGTGAAATTGCCCAAACTGCAAATTTCTGACCACGTTATTGGGTAGTTGAAATCGGTAAACAGGAAGTTTCTTGTACTCGATCGATAGAAAAAATGGAGTTCTAGAGAAATAGCTATGACTTTGGTCAACTGGAACAACGGAATTAGCTGAAAATAGGGCTCAAAGTGGGCGAAATTGCCAATTCGTAAATATTGCAGAGGTCGCAAACTTTGCGAGAGCGTAATTCCGTCAGTTTTCCATCAAATTTCGTTCTTTTGGTGTCATTACAATCAGGAAAAGATTCTTTATCATATCATAAGATTTTTTTTTTTTCGGAAATTTTGCAACACCAGGAGACACCTCAGGATTTGGGGTTGTGACAGTCAAGGGGTTAAGAAGGACTCTGAAAAAGAAGTTCAATTAGAAAATACCATACTAACTTTTATAAGCTGTTATAATTCCTTGGATGGTGTTCTTATGTTAATTGACGAGTTTGGGAGGGTGTAAAGGTAGAAAGTTGAAAGTGAACATAGATAAGAGTAAGGTGACGAGGGTATCAAATGATTTAGATAAAGAAAAATTGGATATCACATTGGAGAGGAGGAGTATGGAAGAAGTGAATGTTTTCAGATGTTTGGGAGTTGATGTGTCAGCGGATGGGTTTATGAAGGATGAGGTCAACCATAGAATTGACGAGGGAAAAAAGGCGAGTGGTGCGTTGAGGTATATGAGGAGACAAAAAAACGTTATCAATGGAGGCAAAGAAGGGAATGTATGAAAGTATAGTGGTACCAACACTCTTATATGGGTGTGAAGCTTGGGTTGTAAATGCTGCAGTGAGGAAGCGGTTGGAGGTAGTGGAGATGCCCTGTATAAGGAAAATGTGTGGTGTAAATATTATGCAGAGAATTTGAAGTGTGGAAATTAGGAGAAGGTGTGGAGTTAATAAAAGTATTAGTCAGACAGCTGAAGAGGGGTTGTTGAGGTGGTTTGATCATTTAGAGAGAATGGATCAAAGTAGAATGGAGAGCGTATAAATCTTTAGGGGAAGGAAGGCGGGGTAAGGGTCGTCCTCGAAAAGGTTGGAGGGAGGCGGTAAAGGAGGTTTTGTGGGCGAGGCTGAACTTCCAGCAAGCATGCATGAGCGTGTTAGATAGGACTGAATGGAGAAGAACGGTTTTTGGGACCTGACGAGCTGTTGGAGTGTGAGCAGGGTAATATTTGCTGAAGGGATTCAGGGAAACTGGTTATTTTTATATAGCTGGACTTGAGTTCTGGAAATGGGAAGTACAATGCCTGCACTTTAAAGGAGGGGTTTGGGATATTGGCAGCTTGGAGGGATGTGTAATAGGACTGTATATATATATATAATTTGGGCCCTGATATTATATTCTATATGGAGTTTATATTTCAGGTCACTTTTTATATTGTATCTTTATACAGTGGACCCCCGACTTACGATGTACTTGACCTACGAAACCGACTTACGATGCTTGTCAGTGTAAAAATTTGACCCTGACATACGTTGAAAAACTCGACTTATGTCATTCGTCCCGTAGCATCCACGCATCTGTCTGGCCTGAGCCCCTCAGCTGAGCTAGTGTGACATTGTTTACAAGCCGGGGCTGACACGGTTGCATGCATACATTCGATAAATTTTGTATTATTCCAGTGTTTTTAGTGCTTGTAACTGCTAAATTAGCCACCATGGGCCCAAAGAAAGCTTCTAGTGCCAACCCTGTGGTAAAAAGGGTGAGAAATACTATCGAAATACTATCGTTACCACAGTCAACTGCTGCTGTAGCACCGTCAGCTGCTGCTGCACCATAGTCAGCTGCTGCTGCACCATGGTCAGCTGCTGCTGCTACTATAGCACTGTCAGCTGCTGCTGCTACTGTAGCACCGTCAGCTGCTGCTGCACCATAGTCAGCTGCTGCTGCTACTATAGCACCGTCAGCTGCTGCTGCTGCTGTAGCACTGTCAGCTGCTGCTGCACCACGGTCAGCTGTACTACTCAAAGATGTGGAGAGACTTATTAGTGTGGCTTATCGAGAAACAATTAACCCCAGAGGGTTAGCCACCCAGGATAACCCAAGAAAGTAGTGTATAATCAAGGACTGTCTAACATATTTCTATTGGGGTCCTTAATCTTGTCCCCTAGGATGCGACCCACACCAGTCGACTAACACCCAGGTGAACAGGAAAAAATGCCTGGAATTAGTGTTCATATTGGTGAATTTAAGGCCAGCAAAGGTTGGTTTGAGAGATTTAAGAATCGTAGTGGCATACACAGTGTGATAAGGCCTGGTCTGGAAGAAAATGCCAAACAGGACCTACATTACTTAGGAGGAAAAGCACTCCCAGGACACAGTGTCTCATCTCTCATCACTACATCTTCAATAAAGGTAAGTGTCATTTATTCTTCATTTAGTACAATAGTACATGCACAATATATTTTGTGCATGTATTCTTCGTTTTGTGTGTAAGAAAATGTATATTTCATGTGGTAAAAAAAAATTTTTTTTCCATACTTTTGGGCGTCGTGAACAGATTAATTTGACTTCCATTATTTCTTATGGGGAAAATTAATTCAACTTACGATAATTTCGTCTTACGATGTGCTGTCAGGAACGGATTAATATTGTAAGTCAGGGGTCCACTGTATATGCTTTTAAGCTGTTGTATCTGGGTGCCTCTGCAAAAACAGTGATTATGTATGAGTGAGGTGAAAGTGTTGAATGATGATGAAAGTATTTTCGTTTTGGGGATTTTCTTTCTTTTTGGGTCACCCTGCCTAGATGGGAGACGGCCGACTTGTTGGAAAAAAAAAAGTACAGTGGACCCCCGGTTAACGAACTTTTTTCATTCCAGTAGTATGTTCAGGTGCCAGTACTGACTGAATTTTTTCCCATAAGGAATATTGTGAAGTAGATTAGTCCATTTCAGACCCCCAAACATACACGTACAAACGCACTTACATAAATACACTTACATAATTGGTCGCATTTGGAGGTGATCGTTAAGCGGGGGTCCACTGTATTAAAATGGGTTTCAGTTATATTATGGACACATGCCAAGTGCACTTATGAACAAAAGCATTTTCCTCATAACTTACCTTGCTCTCTATAATTAGGTTACCATTTTTTCTAGTGATTTCCTTTACATGTGCATCTAATTCTGGAAGGTCTGGTTGTTGTTGACGAGGTTCAAAAAATAAAGGCAATTCTATTTTTGGTCTTTCTCTCTGCCGTCCTGAGATGGTGTTGGGTCGTTCTGTCAATCTGGATTCTCCTATTGGAACTGTAATGCAAAAAAGTACCTTACAAGTGACCTGAAATGCAGTTGATGCAAGAAACTTTCCATGTTGGCACAAAAAAAAAAAAAAAATATATCCATCAGCACAGCAAGGAACCTAAAAGGAAGATGGAAGACAGGAAACTGGCTACACCCAATATGTACCCTAAATAAATCAGAGAAACATTTTCAAACCCACATAAAAGCAAGTGATATCTACACCTTTAAATACACATGGAAAAAACAATAAGTATAATTTGAATGAAATCTTATGGCTAGTTTTCAAAAAAATAATGGATACCATCAGAAAACCCATGGGTAATTAATTTATTTGCAATCTGCCAACTGATACAAACACTGGATAATTGAATTTCGTAAATACGTACAGTGGTACCCAGAGTTCCGGCCATAATTCATTCCAGAAGGCTGTTCGAGTGCAGTTACCGAACGAATTTGTTTCCATAAGGAATAATGTAAATTAGATTAGTCTGTTTCAGACCCTGAAAAATACACTTAAAATAACTTACAATAATACACTTACATAATTGTTCGAGTTGGGAGCTGTACGAAACTCGGGGTACCACTGTACATGCAGGCCCGCTTTACAGCGAAACGCTGTAAAGCGGGACGCTGTATATCGGTTTTCAATTACACATACCTATTCTTCATTTATTTAGACTTCCTACAATCAATATATTCACCACTCACTTTAAGTTAAGGATGAAAATATTTTGAAGTATGTAATGTGTTTACTTCCATGCATTTTTTTGGCCTAGCTATATTGCTCACTTAATATATGACAGTGTAAACATGTTATCAGGATTTTATGTGCATTTGAAAGTGATTCACTTTACAGTGGTAGCACAGAACCTAACCTGTTGTTTAAGTGGGGCCCTCCTGTAAAGAACCCTGAGAATTTGTGGGGACAGCAGTGGAGGTTGGGTTGAAAAGACAAGAGCATGAAGATTTAGGTTTGCATGCAAATTAGAGGAATATGAAGGCAAAGAAAATTCTTGTTAGGAATGCAAATGAATTGTAAAGCGATGCATTGATTCAGTGGTAGCACTCTTGCCTCACAACTCACAAGGTTCTCTACATATGCTGCTATATATAATAATTATGTAATCTGTTTACTGTATTTTTACCGCTGAATATATCGCTGCTTAGTTAATCTTAAGTTAATTTTAAGCCTGACCACAATGCTCTGCATACAAGGGGCTTTTGGCATGTACACTCAACCATTGTATTTCTTTTGTACAACTATGTATTATGTCCAAATAATAATAAATAAATAAATAAATAAATAAATAAAAATCTTGGGACATGATAGAAATGTTGAGCAAATTTCCTTGTACCCATAACCTTTGTATAAGTGTAACCTAGCAGTAAATATGTTCCTCTGTAATAGTTGACTGCAGCAGGTCACTTCCTGGGGAAGGGATACGAGGAAGTATTTCTTTAGTTTTAGGGTGATTGAAAGATTACACCCAACAACCTTTTACACCTGTAACTGCTACACCCACCTACTACCATTACACCTGTAACTGCTGCACCCAACTACCACCATTACACCTGTAACTGCTACACCCAACTACCACCATACCATTACACCTGTAACTGGGCACCACCTACCCCATTACACCTGTAACTGGTGCACCCACCTACCACCATTTACACCTGTAATGGTGCACCACTACACCAATATACACCTGTAACTGGTGCACCCACCTACCACCATTACACCTGTAACTGGTGTACCCACCTACTACCATTACACCTGTAACTGCTACACCCACCTACCACCATTACACCTGTAACTGCTACACCCACCTACCACCATTACACCTGTAACTGCTACACCCACCCACCTACCACCATTATGCCTGTAACTGCTACACCCACCTATCACCATTACACCTGTAATTACTTCACCCACCTACCACCATTACACCTGTAACTGCTGCACCCACCTACCACCATTACACCTGCAACTGCTGCACCCACGTACCACCATTACACCTGCAACTGCTGCACCCACCTACCACCATTACACCTGTAACTGTTACACCCACTCATTACATACCAGAAACGCTACACCTACCTACCGCCATTACATACATCACCACTACACCCATCTATCACCACTGCACACCTGTCACCACTAGATCCACCTACCACTACACACCTGTCACTGCTATACATCACATCTGTCACTGCCACACATACCTACCACTACTACACACCTGTCACCACTAAACATGTAACTACACACTCATCAGTGCTACACTCGCCTCTACTACACACCTATCACTGCTGCACCCACCTACTGCCACTACACACTTGTCACTACTATTACTACTACCACCTTTCACCACTGCATACTGTTAATACACCATCAATCACACACCTTGCACTACTATAACTGTTATTACACATGTCACAAGTACACCTTCCACCACCACTACATACCTGTAACCACTACACCTACCTACCACCTATAAACACCTGTCATTACACCCACCTACAACCATTAAACACCCATCACCACTACATCTGTCAACACATACCTGTCATTTCACAGACAACCATGACACACCTGTCACCTACTCACCTACACCCATCATCACTGCATGTCAACACACACTTGTCACTACACACCTGTCACCACTACACTCGTTACCAATACACCCACTACACACCTGTCACAACTACACCTACCTTCCACAAGTAAATACGTCACCACTACATCCACCTACAACCACTACACACCTGTCATCACTAATCACCATTACATCTACTACAAACCTGTCACCACTACACCTGTCACCAATACCTCCACTACAAACCCATCATCACTACACCTGTCACTACACACCTGTAACTATACACCCACCTACACTGCTACATTTGTCACCAGTACACCCACTACAAACCTGTCACCACTATACCTGTCAATACACACCTATCACCACTACACACCTGTCACCACTACACCTGTCACCACTACATCTGTCACCACTACACCTGTCACTACACACCTATCACCACTACACCTGTCACTACACACCTATCACCACTACACCTGTCACCACTACATCTGTCACCACTACACCTGTCACCACTACACCTATCACCACTACACCTGTCACCACTACACCTGTCACCACTACCCATCACTACACCCACCTATCATGACTACACCTGTCACACTACACCCACCTATCACCACTACACCTGTCACTCACTCTACCCACCTATCACCACTACATGTCACTACACACCTGTCACCACTACATCCCACCTATCACCACTACACCTGTCACCACTACAACCCACCTATCACCACTACACCTGTCACTACACACCTGTCACCACTACACACCTGTCACCACTACACCCACCTATCACACGTCACTACACACCTGTCACCACTACACACCACCTATCACCACTACACCTGTCACTACACACCTGTCACCACTACACCACCTATCACCACTACAACGTCACTACACACCTGTCACCGTTACACCCACCTATCACCACTACACCTGTCACTACACACCTGTCACCACTGCACCCACCTATCACCACTACACCTGTCACCACTACACTTGTCACTACACACCTGTCACCACTACACCTGTCACTACACACCTATCACCACTACACTGTCACCACTACACACCTATCACCACTACACCTGTCACTACACACCTGTCACTACACACCTGTCACCACTACACCCACCTATCACCAGTCACTACACACCTGTCACCACTACACCCACCTATCACCACTACACCAGTCACTACACACCTGTCACCACTACACCCACCTATCACCACTACATCATCCATCACCACTACACACGTCACCACTACACCCACCTATCACCACTACACCTGTCACCACTACACACCTGTCACCACTACACCCACCTATCACCACTACACCTGTCACTACACACCTGTCACCACTACAAAACGCGTCATGTGATCAAGCTGACTGACTTGAAGATCACAGTTGGTGAAGTTATCTCCACCTTACACCACATTACTACTGACTCTTCTGCCCAGTTCACCACACCTGCACCTCCTCCAACACCTCTCCAACACACCTACATATCTTAAATGTGGTCATAGTCAGGGTTAAAGTGTTAGGTTGAGATGGTAGGAGGTGGTGTTGGAGAGGCTAGAGGACTTACGGGGTCTGGGTCGCCTCTCCGAGCCTGGTCTATCCCTCGTGAAGTCCAGATTTAGGTTGGTGTTCATCCTATCCCGGGACTGAGCCTCATTCTCAGCCTTGAGCCTCGTCCCCAGCCCCTGCAGTCTGTCTTGGAGGGAGCTCAGCGTAGCCATTTTTGTTTTCCTTTTGAGAGCGATACTAGAGCCATCTCTTGGTGGAGGAGATTACTGTGTGTGTGTGTCTGGTGGTGGTGTTGGGGGGTCGAGGCCTGGTACTGTGTGTGTGTGTCTGGTGGTGGTGTTGGGGGGTCGAGGCTTGGTACTGTGTGTGTGTGTGTCTGGTGGTGGTGTTGGGGGGTCGAGGCCTGGTACTGTGTGCGTGTGTCTGGTGGTGGTGTTGGGGGTCGAGGCCTGGTACTGTGTGTGTGTGTCTGGTGGTGGTGTTGGGGGTCGAGGCCTGGTACTGTGTGTGTATGTGTCTGGTGGTGGTGTTGGGGGTCGAGGCTGGTACTGTGTGTGTGTGTCTGGTGGTGGTGTTGGGGGGTCGAGGCCTGGTACTGTGTGTGTGTCTGGTGGTGGTGTTGGGGGGTCGAGGCCTGGTACTGTGTGTGTGTGTCTGGTGGTGGTGTTGGGGGTCGAGGCCTGGTACTGTGTGTGTGTGTCTGGTGGTGGTGTTGGGGGGTCGAGGCCTGGTACTGTGTGTGTGTCTGGTGGTGGTGTTGGGGGGTCGAGGCCTGGTACTGTGTGTGTGTGTCTGGTGGTGGTGTTGGGGGGTCGAGGCCTGGTACTGTGTGTGTGTGTCTGGTGGTGGTGTTGGGGGGTCGAGGCCTGGTACTGTGTGTGTGTGGTGTGTCTGGTGGTGGTGTTGGGGGGTCGAGGCCTGGTACTGTGTGTGTGTGTCTGGTGGTGGTGTTGGGGGGTCGAGGCTGGTACTGTGTGTGTGTCTGGTGGTGGTGTTGGGGGTCGAGGCCTGGTACTGTGTGTGTGTGTGTGTCTGGGTGGTGGTGTTGGGGGGTCGAGGCCTGGTACTGTGTGTGTGTGTCTGGTGGTGGTGTTGGGGGGTCGAGGCCTGGTACTGTGTGTGTGTCTTGGTGGTGGTGTTGGGGGTCGAGGCCTGGGTACTGTGTGGTGTGTGTGTGTCTGGTGGTGGTGTTGGGGGGGGTCGAGGCCTGGTACTGTGTGTGTGTGTGTGTCTGGTGGTGGTGTTGGGGGGTCGAGGCCTGGTACTGTGTGTGTGTGTCTGGTGGTGGTGTTGGGGGGTCGAGGCCTGGTACTGTGTGTGTGTGTGTGTCTGGTGGTGGTGTTGGGGGTCGAGGCCTGGTACTGTGTGTGTGTGTGTGTCTGGTGGTGGTGTTGGGGGTCGAGGCCTGGTACTGTGTGTGTGTCTGGTGGTGGTGTTGGGGGGTCGAGGCCTGGTACTGTGTGTGTGTGTGTGTCTGGTGGTGGTGTTGGGGGGTCGAGGCCTGGTACTGTGTGTGTGTGTGTGTGTGTCTGGTGGTGGTGTGTGGGGGTCGAGGCCTGGTACTGTGTGTGTGTCTGGTGGTGGTGTTGGGGGGTCGAGGCCTGGTACTGTGTGTGTGTGTCTGGTGGTGGTGTTGGGGGGTCGAGGCCTGGTACTGTGTGTGTGTCTGGTGGTGGTGTTGGGGGTCGAGGCCTGGTACTGTGTGTGTGTGTGTGTCTGGTGGTGGTGTTGGGGGGTCGAGGCCTGGTACTGTGTGTGTGTGTCTGGTGGTGGTGTTGGGGGGTCGAGGCCTGGTACTGTGTGTGTGTCTGGTGGTGGTGTTGGGGGTCGAGGCCTGGTACTGTGTGTGTGTGTGTGTCTGGTGGTGGTGTTGGGGGGTCGCAGGCCTGGTACTGTGTGTGTGTGTGTGTCTGGTGGTGGTGTTGGGGGGTCGAGGCCTGGTACTGTGTGTGTGTGTCTGGTGGTGGTGTTGGGGGGTCGAGGCCTGGTACTGTGTGTGTGTGTGTGTCTGGTGGTGGTGTTGGGGGTCGAGGCCTGGTACTGTGTTGTGTGTGTGTGTCTGGTGGTGGTGTTGGGGGTCGAGGCCTGGTACTGGTGTGTGTTCTGGTGGTGGTGTTGGGGGGTCGAGGCTGGTACTGTGTGTGTGTGTGTCTGGTGGTGGTGTTGGGGGGTCGAGGCCTGGTACTGGTGTGTGTGTGTGTGTGTCTGGTGGTGGTGTTGGGGGGTCGAGGCCTGGTACTGTGTGTGTGTCTGGTGGTGGTGTTGGGGGGTCGAGGCCTGGTACTGTGTGTGTGTGTCTGGTGGTGGTGTTGGGGGGTCGAGGCCTGGTACTGTGTGTGTGTGTGTGTCTGGTGGTGGGTGTTGGGGGTCGAGGCCTGGTACTGTGTGTGTGTTTGGTGGTGGTGTTAGGGGGTCGAGGCCTGGTACTGTGTGTGTGTGTCTGGTGGTGGTGTTGGGGGGTCGAGGCCTGGAACTGTGTGTGTGTGTGTGTCTGGTGGTGGTGTTGGGGGGTCGAGGCTGGTACTGTGTGTGTGTGTGTGTTGGTGGTGGTGTTGGGGGGTCGAGGCCTGGTACTGTGTGTGTGTCTGGTGTGGTGGTGTTGGGGGGTCGAGGCCTGGTACTGTGTGTGTGTGTGTCTGGTGGTGGTGTTGGGGGTCGAGGCCTGGTACTGTGTGTGTGTGTGTGTCTGGTGGTGGTGTTGTGGGGGTCGAGGCCTGGTACTGTGTGTGTGGTGTGTCTGGTGGTGGTGTTGGGGGGTCGAGGCATGGTACTGTGATGTTACTTGTGTGTGGGTGTTCTGGTGTGGTGGTGTTGGGGGGTCGACGCTTGGTACTGTGATGTTACGTGTGTCTGGTGGTGGTGTTGGGGGGTCGAGGCCTGGGTACTGTGATGTTACTGTGTGTGTGTCTGGTGGTGGTGTTGGGGGGTCGAGGCTTGGTACTGTTGATGTTACTGTGTGTCTGGTGGTGATGTTGGGGGGTCGAGGCTTGGTACTGTGATGTTACTGTGTGTGTGATCTGGTGGTGGTGTTGGGGGTCGAGGCTGGTACTGTGATGTTACTGTGTGTGTGTCTGGTGGTGGTGTTGGGGGGTCGAGGCCTGGTATGTTGATGTTACTGTGTGTGTGTGTGTATCTGGTGGTGGTGTTGGGGGGTCGATGCCTGGTACTATGATGTTACTGTGTGTGTGTCTGGTGGTGGTGTTGGGGGGTCGATGCCTGGTATTGTTGATGTTACTGTGTGTGTGTGTCTGGTGGTGGTGTTGGGGAGTCGAGGCCTGGTACGTTGATGTTACTGTGTGTGTGTGTGTCTGGTGGTGGTGTTGGGGGGTCGAGGCCTGGTTACTGTGATGTTACTGTGTGTGTGTCTGGTGGTGGTGTTGGGGGTCGAGGCCTGGTATTGTTGATGTTACTGTGTGTGTGTGTCTGGTGGTGGTGTTGGGGGTCGATGCCTGGTACTGTGATGTTACTGTGTGTGTGTGTCTGGTGGTGGTGTTGGGGGGTCGAGGCCTGGTATTGTTGATGTTACTGTGTGTGTGTGTCTGGTGGTGGTGTTGGGGAGTCGAGGCCTGGTACTGTTGATGTTATGTGTGTGTGTGTGTCTGGTGGTGGTGTTGGGGGGTCGAGGCCTGGTACTGTGATGTTACTGTGTGTCTGGTGGTGGTGTTGGGGGGTCAAGGCCTGGTACTGTGATGTTACTGTGTGTGTGCCTGGTCGGTGGTGTTGGGGGTCGAGGCCTGGTACTGTGATGTTAATGTGTGTGTGTCTGGTGGTGGTGTTGGGGGGTCGAGGCCTGGTACTGTTGATGTTACTGTGTGTGTGTTGGTGGTGGTGTTGGGGGGTCGAGGCCTGGTACTGTTGATGTTACTGTGTGTGTGTCTGGTGGTGGTGTTGGGGGGTCGAGGCCTGGTACAGTTGATGTTATGTGTGTGTGTCTGGTGGTGGTGTTGGGGGGTCGAGGCCTGGTACTGTTGATGTTACTGTGTGTGTGTCTGGTTGTGGTATTGTGGGGTCGAGGCCTGGTACTGTTGTTGTTACTGTGTATGTGTCTGGTGGTGTTGGGGGGTCGGCCAAAGTTACTGTGTGTGTCTTGTGGTGGTTGGTGGGGTCGCACAAGTTACTGTATGTGGTGTTGGTGGTGGTGGGTCGACAAAGTTACTGTATGTGTCTGGGGTTGTGTTGGGGTCGACAAAGTTACTGTATGTGGTCTGGGGGTGGTGTTGGGGGTCGATAAAGTTACTGTATGTGGTGTTGGTGGTGGTGGTCGACAAAATTACTGTATGTGTCTGGGGGTGGTGGGTGGGGGTCGACAAAGTTACTGTATGTGTCTGGTCTTGGTGTTGGGGTCGACAAAGTTACTGTATGTGTCTGGTCGTGGTGTTGGGGTCGACAAAGTTACTGTATGTATCTGTGGGGGTGTTGGAGGGTCGAGGCCTGGTACTGTATGTGACTGGTGGTGGTGGCGGAATACAGAGACAGCAGCAGCAGCAGCAGCAGCAGCAGCAGCAGCAGCAGCAGCAGCAGCAGCAGCAGCGCAGCAGCAGCAGCAGCAGCAGCAGCAGCAGCAGCAGCAGCAGTGGAGATTGCTCCATAGTCTGGAATAATGTGAAGCTGAAGCATCAGAATGGAAACGTATTCTCTCAATAGCGCTGCATCTGCTGTTAGTGGTGCTACTGCTGTTGGTGGTGGTGCTACTGCTGTTGGTGGTGCTACTGCTGTTGGTGGTGGTGCTACTGCTGTTGGTGGTGGTGCTACTGCTGTTGGTGGTGCTACTGCTGTTGGTGGTGGTGCTACTGCTGTTGGTGGTGGTGCTACTGCTGTTAGTGGTGCTACTACTGTTGGTGGTGGTGCTACTGCTGATGGTGGTGGTGCTACTGCTGTTGTTGGTGGTGGTGCTACTGCTGTTGTTGTTGGTGGTGCTACTTCTGTTGTTCGTGGTGGTGCTACTGCTGTTGGTGGTGCTACTTCTGTTAGTGGTGCTACTGCTGTTGGTGGTGGTGCTACTGCTGTTGGTGGTGGTGGTGCTACTGCTGTTGGTGGTGCTACTGTTGTTAGTGGTGCTACTGCTGTTGGTGGTGGTGCTACTGTTGTTGGTGGTGCTACCGCTGTTGGTGGTGCTACTTCTGTTGGTGGTGGTGCTACTGCTGTTGGTGGTGGTGCTACTGCTGTTGGTGGTGGGTGTTACTTCTTCCCTTATGGAAGGTTCCTTGACGCCAGTGAGGGGCTCGTGATCTATTTTCTAACCTCTGTAGAGAACACCTCGAGTCCGTCTACATTCATTATATCTATCACCATTACATGACTACACTACGTCGACGACATG